ACCCACGACTAGCAGAGGTTCTCCGCGTTGGCGGCCGTGCTAGCAATCCCGAGCAGCTACCCAAATCGGTGCTGCAACAAGGGTTTACTGTATACGTTAAGGAAGAGCAGTCCTCGCCCACGCCTAGGAATTAATTCTACGAAAACATGTGGTATATTTGCACACTCAAGTTCACGCTGCACCACTGTGACGTTACGTCTAACAGCACGGCGATGACCGGTGCTGGAGGCGGCGAGCGTGACGGTGGCGACCGCGGGCGCACCGACGACGTGAGTGGAATGCCCCGCCGCCGGCGCCCCGCGGCCACTCCCGGCGACACGCCATGTGCCGAGCAGGATGTCACCCGTTCTCGTCTCTGTCTGCTGGGAGTCACTGCCGCGTTTGTGGCTTTGTAACCAGCAAGTTTTGCCGGATAGTTTGTCTCCTGTAAAATGATAACATCAGGTTTTTTGCGCGGCCGCGAATGTATTGCTCGCTATTGCCCCGCTTCCTTCATAACCCCGGCAGTTCCATTGCCAGATCTTTTACTGCTGCTGGCTCGTGTTAGTGTGATTATGTGCGTGTCTAGCCATGGTGACAGTCACATTTGATTTAACCCATCGCCGTCAAGGCTACTTGGGTTTGGCTGAATTGGCGGCTCTGCGTCTGTCAGCGTGTTTTGCTGATGTGACTCGGTTGCCGTCTAGCGTACGTCTTGTTTATCGTTCAAATCGGTCTGCCCCCAGCTAGCGGCAGTTGGGCTTCTATGTTTTCTACGCGTGCCACATGTGTGGTGGACATTTGAGCCATTTGCTCAGGCAGCTTAGTTATCGCACTGTTCAACATGTCATTCATCAGCGCCACATGGTTTGCAAAGCGCTCATCGAGGCTGTTTTCTATAATATCGATGCGTTTTTGTAATTGCTGATAACCTTCACTTTGCCGGGGGGGGGGGGGAGAGGTCTGGTCTCGCAGTTTCTAGTGCAATTCTTTTCGCGGTACACGGGTGGTCGTCGCGGCCGTCTGCCTCTTCCGCCGAACCACTCTCATCGTTCGTGTCCATCTCTGCCACCTCGGGTCGCGCCGAAGTCGAGGACCGAAGTGACGAAGGTGGCAGCGGAGTCACCTGTTGCTGCGAAGGTTGCGATGGCAGAGCATCGCCTTTTAACATGAAATTTTCCGCTCTGAGGATAGCGTTTTCGTGTTTAAGCCCAGAAACGATCGATTGTAACGGTCCTAGGCGTTGCTCTAGCGCTCGCTTTAATGCTTGCTCGAGCTCACTCCCACCACCGCCACCGACGGCGGGACCAAAAGAACGATCCGCGGAAGCGACGCCACCGGCCGGAAAAGCGGTGACATCCGCCCATCTCCCCTGTTGCCCAATGCTCATGTGCCGTAGTTGCGGCTGCCGCCCCGTCTGGTGCTGCTGACTTTGTGTGCCTTAGTTAAAGGCTGCGGTGCCTAGATCGGCACCACCACGCGTCTTCGACGTGCTTCTCGACATCGGTGTGCGGCTGCGAGAACGGGACCGGCGTTTCCCCCTGCCGCCTTTCGCGTCTCGGCTAGTCGAACGTCTTGTTGGGCTGGCGTTGCATGGATTATTGTCAAACGATGGACGATGACCGTAGTGACATACGTTGCCTCCTGTGCCCATGCTGCTGTTGTATGTGCTGCCATACACCTCGGCCGCTTCCTCTTGTTCTCGTCGTCTTCGCTCTAGTTGGCGACGCTTGACTATGTATGGAGTGTTGTATCTCGCTTTGCAGCTGCGGTCTCCTGTGAGGCGGCCTTTGCCACGTAGTTGACACTGCGGCTCACATCGATGGTCAGACGGCGGGTTGTTGCTGCCACAGCCCCGGCATATCTTGTCCTTCGGGTTGGGGCACACGTCAGAGTGATGTCCCAGCCTGCCACCCTCATAGCACACGTTGATGTGCTTCCTGTACAGCGAGCATCTGACAAGCATAGGTCCATAGTACACGGGTCTGGGTACATGGAAGCCGCCAAACAATATGATTATGTTGTCCGTTGTGCCCATGCGCTTAGCGTGCAGCACTGCGGGGTTGCGCTGCGTCACTAAGTTATTATCAATGTCCGCCGGGCTCTCATCCTTGAAAATGTTCTTAATCGGGCCTTTTAAAGTGTTTTCCGGGGAGGCTTGATTAGCGTTAGCAGCAAACTCTTTGCCACCGATGCAAAGCTTGCTGATGACTGCGTAGCTTGTGGCTCTGTCTGCTGACGGTGTGCTCAGTACAACGACGTTTTGCATCACATTGAGGCAGATGCTATCTTCTCTAGCTGCTTCTCTGCCAATACTCGCCCGCGTTACGTAGGCAGCAAGAAAGGCGATCCATTCCATATTCGGCCCCATTGAAGCCATCTCTCGGGCGTACGACGATCTTGAAATCATCGTGTGGTAATTCAGGCATTCGACTCACCTTAGCGAGGTGCTGCGACTGACGGGCACACTCTTTCTTGTAATACGCAGCCGTGCCCGCAGCCGGGGCTATTCCTGTAGTCGATGCGGCAGCCGTCGCTTGCTGCGTCTTCGCCTGCTGCTTTTGCGCCGACTCGGACGCGCCATCGGCCTGTTTTGTTCTCCGGACGCTGCACGATCCTGCTCCCTCGCCGAAATCTTCTGGCCGAATCTCTTCTCCATCTACCATCACGACACGCATTTATCTCTAGGAAAGGCCTTGTGTGTTTTCGTTGGAAATCGGGAGCTCCAAGGGGGTCCGGCGACACGTCAGGCTGGCTGGCCCTACCACCACAGCGGCCGGGCTATGGCACAGTACGTAGAGACGCTGAACTTGGCATTCGTGCCAGCGTGGCGGAGGAAAAGGCTCCGATAAGCGGCCAAAAAGTGGGCCAACCTAACAAACTTGGTGATAGAGGAGTCCTTGAAACTTCCACTGATCAATGGAGAGAATGGTTTCCACGATGAGCTTGACAAACCACCAAAGAAAATAGGAAAGTTACGGAGCCAACGCGAAACACGTCTGCACTCCGTAGCCCCTTAGCGGTGTCCCCTAACGTCTGCAGAAAGTCTTTTTTTTCTTCATCGTCCATTTCTACTTGTCATAGGTGCCATCCTCCTGGCCACGGTATTGCGCTTCGCGTGATACACGCACTTGCGAACTGGTTCAAGCCATTACGCACCTTGCAATATTTTCTTCTCAGTGGACATTTTGCAGCTTTATGATGGTGAAACCCGCATGTTGGGAATACCCCGTCAACTTTTTTTTCAGGTTCAAAGGAAGTGCTGTCTCTAATTTTAGGGACCTATTCTTTGCTCAGTTCTTTAGCACGACAAATGTCAACTGTTTTTGCATGGGAGGGATTTTCATAGATAAGTGTCTGCTTAAATTCTTTGTCTCGTATTCCAAGAACTATTCTACTACGTAAGAGTCAATCTTCAAACTTTCCAAACTCACACTGACCTGCTAGAATCCTAATGTCAGTGAGCCAATCGTTGAACGGCTCACCTTTTCGCTGGTTCCTCGAACCAAACGGACACTCTTCGTAGGTGAGGTTTGTTACTGATTTGTAGTGGTCCTCAAAATTCTGCGTTAAGGCTTTCAGGTCATCTTTCTGGTCCACATCCTCGAATTTGAAGGTTCGAAAGACACGCTTTGCCTCTTCGCCGATTGTCATTAAATGTGTAGTGGCCTGAACATCCTGCGACTGTAGCTTCAGCTTCGTTGCAATTTCGAAAAGAGACAGTAGGATTGGGCGTGTAGGTATAACATGATAAAGAGTGCGTACCAGCGCAAACGACAGGGCAGGATGGGACAGGAGAAGAGACGAGACAGAGCGCTGAACTGCCAACAATTTATTTCTTGTGAAGGTCATCGCTTTTATACAGTTACCAGTCGCAATACTTATGCGCGAAACACAATTACAATGCATAAATACATCACACCGACAAGCAAAGGAACGACTTCTTCATATCGGTGAGCGCGACATAAGGGGTGCTAACACAAGCATCTGTCAATGATCAAATCTTTTCTGCCTCTATAATCTCGCGTGTGGTGCGATCCCTGCATCTTGCAACAATAGTACACGCTGAAAATATTGGCCCGCAGCCATACGTGCTGCAGTGAACAGACAGCCATCCTTGTTTATTGTGATCGACATTGTACATACGTTCCCTCAGCATCTCAGTTATACTACGACCTGAATGACCGACGTAGTACCTTCCACACGATAACAGCAGCTGATACACCACATTACAGATGCAATCTCTAGATTTATTTGCATGTTTTGTAGTGCAACCGAGGCTGCGTCTGGATGGAGGAACGGAGAGCTTGCACAGGCGACTCAATTTTTGAGGGGCCGTAAAGACCACCTTCACATTAACCTCTTATGACTTGTCGCGATTTCGCATCATACCGGTTTTAAGCCGCACTACCAGAATAAAACATCTGTAGGCGCCACTGCTGTGCTTAGAGGTAATCTACAGATGTTTGGCAACATATAGAAAAAGCAGCGCCATCTACCCTCTATTCAGTAAACAGCTGACAGCTGCCGTTTCTCCGGTTGATGCCGACGCACAACATTCCTCAGTGTCCATCCATTGACATCCCTCTCATTTCATGGTATGTAAATGTTTCGAATCTAAAAAAATGTTGTGTAGTGGTCACTTGGTTGACTAACGCACGAAGATCGCGTAAATTATTTGTTTTTGAAGATTAGTTGTGTTTTCAATCGCGCGTCGCTTTGTCGCGTTTTCGCATCATCAGGCTCTAGCGTTCCGATTTGTGCACAACTTCATCTTCATTGGGATGTGGTCAAAAAAGTAGTAATTTTTTTTCCCAGTTATAGTGCTTTTCGTCAGTGATTTATTTCTGAAGGTTACAATTCTAGATTGGCATTTTTTTTTCAATCGCATGTGTCTTTGCCGCATTTTCGCATCAAGTTGTAGCGTCCCTGTTTGCGCACAACTACATCTTCCTTGGGTTATGATCAAAGACCGAGTAATTGGTTTTTTTCTTTCAGTTATTCGATTCTCTTCATCTATGATGGACTCTAGAAGGTTCTACGGGATCAGGGTTCCACCCGTTGAAGACAGCGAAGATAGCTGCCTCAGCGACAGCGACACCGATTACAGCCTTGACGCAGAAGACGCTGCCCCAGCAGATCAATCTAGGCAATCTGGGATTGACACAGGTATGCAACCTTGACTCTTTTTTTTTGCCTGGCACATTCACGAGCTCTTGTGGAATTTGAACCACGTGATGCGCTTTCTTCTTTTTTTGTTGTTGTTTATGGGTGAGTTACGTGCGGCTGCAATGTGAAACGCCGTCGGCGTTCCTTCTTGTTGTATTGCGTTGGCGCATCTTTGCTTTTTCTTTTTCAAGCCAAGGTTGTACGGCTTCTCGAATGTAGTATGCCAACGTCGCTGTGGTTTCATTTTCTTTTTCTTTTTTGCGGATGATGAAGATGAAACACAAGAGCCGTCCACGTCAAGTGCAAGATGTTTCCTGTGGAAGCGAGTGAATCATGCGCGGTCATGCCAACCTCAATGGGAAGACAGTCTTCCAGACCCTCCAGATGAGCCGAAAGCACCCATTGAGTACTGCCGGTGTTTTTTTGACGACAAGCTCCTTCCCGAGATTTGAGACCAATTCAATCTCTATGCAGTGCAGAAGAATGCCAACAAAGCATTACGCCTAACATGCGCTGAACTAGAGCAGTTTCTCGGTGCCACAATGTACATGTCCATATACAGGATTCCACGATCACACATGTACTGGAGCCGCGAGATGACAGTAGAAAAAGTGGCAGAAGTTATGTCACGTGACAGGTGGCAAACCATAAAGAGCGACCTTCATTTCAACAACAACGATCTCCTACAAGCGAATGCTGGAAATGACAGGATCTTCAAAATTCGACCACTGATTGGCAATCTGCTTCCCAAATTTCAAATCCTTCCAAAGTCACAGATGCTGGAGGTTGACGAGCACATTGTGCCGTTCAAAGGCCGTTCAGCTCTCAAGCAATATGTCCCTAGTAAGCCTCACAAGTGGGGCTACAAGATTTTTGTACTTTGTGACACCCACGGACTTGTCTACGACTTCTCCATTTACACAGGGAACATCCGCCCCGTTCCTGGTTTACCTGACCTTGGAGCGAGCTCTAATGTTGTGCTCGAGCTTTCGCGCTCCATCCCAGAGAACAAGAACTCCTTGTTTTTTGACAACTGGTTCACATCCATAAAACTGCTTGTAAGTTTGCATCAGCTCGGTATTCCAGCCTTGGGAACTGCGCGGGCAAACAGGATTTCTGGATGCCGACTACCCAGTGATGCAGAAATGAAGAAGGACGGAAGAGGAAGCCACATGGAGCGGGAGGCTACTGTTGATGGGGTTGAAGTCCGAGTTGTGAAGTGTTACGACAGCCGAGGAGTGAATATAGCCAGCACATTCGGGAGTGCCGAGCCCCTAGGAAGCTGCCAGCGGTTCGACTGCAAGAAGAAAGAAAGGTGCGAAATTCAGCAGCCTGCTATTGTGAAGACATACAACACCTTATGGGTGGAGTAGGCCTCCCAGATGGGCTCATGGCATACTACAGAATTTTTCTGAAGTCAAAAAAATCCTACCTGGGACTTTTTTTTTATTTTGTTAATATGGCTGTTGTGAACAGGTGGCTTCTCTACCGAAGGAAGTGTGATGCTCTAGCAATCGCCAAAAAAGAGCAACTAGATCTTTTAGCATTCAAGGCTTCTCTAGCCAGCTGCCCTTGTATTGAGAACAAGGACATGATGAAGAAGAGGGGCCGGCCGTCTCTTTCTGTGAAATCAGGGCTTGAAAGAAAGAAAAGAAGAGGCCCAACAGCTCCAAAACTTAATGTTCAAGTCCGTCATGACAATGTTTGCCACTGGCCTGAAGTGTCGCAGCAACGACAACGATGCACAATGCCTGGCTGCAAAGGCCAACCTGTTTCTTTCTGCGCAAAATGCAAAGTTCATCTTTGTATAAACGAAAGCTCAAAATGTTTCATTTCTTTTCACAAGAACTGACCTACAAGTTTTCTGAGCTCAAAGAAATGAGCTCTGAAGTATGTTCGAAAATAAACATTTTCTGATCCACTACGACCTGTTGTCGCGGTTTCGCAACATAGCCGTAACTTTTTTCCTAATACCCCTACATGTATAAAAGTTGTTGTGTAACTTCTTTATAACAAGGCCATAAAAAGCCACAGCAAAAGAAATTTTTTATGTCGTACAATAAATTCAGGCTAGAAGAGGTTAACTCGCTGTGCCACTTAAGATTGTGCGCTATCTTGTGCATACACGGAACTACGGCGAAAGCTTGTCTAGCTGTGACAGGTTGGACTACGTTATCGTTCCCTTTGGCCTGAAGTTAACGCAGCAGGCCTTCGGCACGTGGTCGGGATAACCATCCGACGTTAGCCTTGAAGATTGCTCAACAAAGCTTTCTGTAATCTTGTGCACACAGGATTTTGGCAAGGCATTCACGAAGCAAGATATTGCGATACCTCGCTTAACTAATTTATGCGATACCTCGCTTAACTAATGTCATTGTGTTTCGCGCATGACTATTGCGAATGGTAACTGTATAAAAGCGAAGACCTTCGCAAGAAATAAATTATTGTCAGTTTAGCGCTCTGTCTCGTCTCTTCTCCTCTCCCCTCCTGCCCGGTCATTTGCGCTGGTAAGCACTCTTTTTCTTATTTCTAAAAGTGCGAACTCACTATTCAAGATTTTCTATTTATGGTAAATGTCCCCAGTGTTGACACGAAGCTTGGAGGGCGGTAGCAGTGTCGAACTCCTACATCGTTGTGTCTGCATTTCTGGATGGCCTGGTAGATGTCTCGTAATTGGACATGAGGGACGTTCATTCCGTGTTGCCTTAGTTAACGTTGTTCTGCGTGGCAGTGACTAACTGCCAAGCCCTTTTCAGACACCATATAGGCCAGACGAGTAGCAAGGAACAAAAAGTGGTTTATTCAGCAACGTAGCCAAATATTAAGGGACGCTAGCGATAAACGGTGGGGGAGTGGCACATGCGCGTTGGAAGGCGCGCAAGCGTAACATCGCGCCCGATTACAGAAAGAAGGCATTCCGTTCGACTGCGTGCTACCTCCAATCCTAGCGCCTCTATTATGATAACTGCTTTTTGCTAACAGCACTAAAATTATCGTTAATAGTTTCCAAATCCTAAATAACTAATATATCGATATGCGGTTTTCTGGTTTTGTGCGTACTCCTTGATGTTTTATAGTTCTGGCATTAAAACTAAGTTACCATACCAGCTAACAGTAGAAACAACACAGCTCAATCTCGACATAGGTGCTGCACTTTAAAACAAACACTACATGTTGGTATAAGTAACGTATTTCACAGTACAGATACAAATAATATTTTCTAATATATCGCGGTACAGAAATGCAGACAAAAAAGTGTATCTGTAAGTGTCACGACACTGTAGTACATTGATATGATCAGCCTCATCACAAGTGCTACCAATATTTTCTTTTGCTCGTCAGCCAGACCTTCTTTTTTCGCGCGATATGAAGGGCCCTAATACGCCATTTTGGCATAGAACTTCTCCGCTCTCGGACTGCGTATAATTCTCCATTCCTATATTATTTCAAGGCTCTCAGTATTAGTAACGTGATCGTAAACAGTAAGGCATATTTATTTACCTTTTCAGCAACTGAAGAGCCATCACGTGAAAGATAAATCTTTTATTCGTAAAAACCTAGAATTGCTTGCATTTACCGAATGTATGTACGACGTCTTCATCATATCGCGAATATTTCGACCATTTCAGTTCATGCACACATCCTCTCAGGCTCTGTGAAATTTTCAGGCAAACAGGCCATCACTTTACAAATTGCATAAGCTGCATTTTCGTGTTCGTAGCCTAAACTGGTTGCGTTTATATTGTCAAGACAAAAACGGCTTTTTAAAAGAAAATTTCATTTGACCACATGTACGGCCGTTAAACGGAAAGTAGGATTATAGCTGTGCACACTGGCACTCATTTCCGCGAACGGAGCGTCAGTCGTGAAAAATCTGATCATCGTTGGGACGCGCCGTTTTTTGTGCATCACTCGTCGAACTTTTCAACTTTATCACTGTTCGTCGCGCAAACTCTTGCATAATCATGAGTTTTCGCGTCCTGTGCACAATCTTAGTGAAGTGATCTGCTACAAACGTCAAGGTTCCGGAACACTAAGGCGCGATCTGCGCCGAGTGGCTCGCATTCTTTGTTGGTTGAAACCGAGCACATCAAAAAAAATTTGCAGATCCCACGTACAGTGGGAAGCGACGATGTGGGAAGCACGAAAGAGGAAGGTTGATATGTCACTGTAAAGTCAGCACAACGTTACGATCGAGGTGGAGGTAAATTGTGCCGTACATGACTTCCATATGATGACTCTCATGTTCGAACGTGTCATTCACATTCGTCAATTATTCACGTCTCCTGATACCAAATTTGGTATATGTGGAGATAGCTAAACAGCCGCGCGTACGCTATGAGCGTAGAATGTAGTCATGTTCTACATGACACGCATCTCATGACTATCATGTTCGCACCAGCCACAAAATTTTGTCATCAATTCTCTTGACGTAATACCACATTTGGCATATGTGAAGCTAGCGAAACGGCCGCGAATGCATCATGAACTCAGCATGTAGTCATGTTGTTACATAACATGTACATGCATCTCATGATTATCAAGTTTGCACCAGTCACATACCTTCGTCATCCATTTACATCTCGTAATACCAAACTTGTTATAAGTGAAGCTAGCGTACGGCCGTGAACGCATCGTGAGTGTGGCACGTAGTCATATTGTTACATGACACACCCCTGATGATTCCCATATTTGCACCTGTCATACAACTTTGTCATTCATTTAAGTTTTGTAGTACCAAATCTGGTATATGTGAAGCTAGCAAAACGACCGCGAGCACACCATGAGCGTGGCCTGTAGGCCTGTAATCATGAACCATGACTTACATAACATGCATGTCATGATTTCCACGTTAGAGTGTGTCACTTGCGTTCGCAATGCAGTCATGTCATACCATACCGATTTTGCAACATGTCATGTGAACGAAACCACCGCAAGAGCAGCAAGACCATGCAGTGTAAATCATGACATTCTTTACACACATATTATGGTTTTGATGTTATGACTAGTCAGTTATGCTGGCCATAGAGTCATGTTATGCCATAAAAGTTTTGTTATCTACCCATTATCGGGATGGCCGGGAGAGCTTATAGTCGTAGCAGATAGATAGATAGATAGATGGATAGATGATGATAGATGGATGGATAGATGGATGGATAGATGGATAGATAGATAGATAGATAGATAGATAGATAGATAGATAGATAGATAGATAGATAGATAGATAGATAGATAGATAGATAGATAGATAGATAGATAGATAGATAGATAGATAGATAGATAGATAGATAGATAGATAGATAGATAGATAGATAGATAGATAGATAGATAGATAGATAGATAGATAGATAGATAGATAGATAGATAGATAGATAGATAGATAGATAGATAGATATCCACACCTAAGCCCAGACTGGTATTCCACGAAGCTTCGCCGAAGATTGTAACGGCGCCTGTCCGCCATCTGGTCATTAACGGGCAAGTTGACAAGCTTCTTCAGCACGCTGAATGTAGATGGTGACATCGGAGTTTTCTTCCTCAGCGACGTTTGGCAGCATGGCGTCGAGCATAGTTGTTGTGGTCGCGCAAGCTGCTCGGTAATCTTGAGTGTTCGCGTCCTGAGCGCAATCTTAACAAAATGATCAACTTAGTACGCAAACATGAAGGTTCTCGAACACTGAAAAGCGACTTGTGCTGAATGTATTCGCTTACAGTCTTTGTGGGGTCAAACCAAGCACATCAAAATAACACTCGTGGCAATATTGATGAGTCAATACTTCTACTTACGTACATAGGCGAGCCTCAAGAAAGTGTGTTGCGACAATGCTAGTTCTTGTAAAAGTGTTAGAAATTTACATCGCGATATTCGGAGTTACGTAAGCGCTCCGTCTATTTCGCGCACGTACAATATACAACGCGGCGCACCGGATAATTTACTGTGAGCACTGCCAAGTTAAAGAAGACTAACTTCAATGTCTGGAGCAGAGAACTAACCAGTGCAATCAACTTTGTTAAAAATTAGGGCACCTTAGAGCTTCACCATAAGAAGTTGAACACGATAGCGACATATTGTTTCTAGTGCGTATGTCAAACACTTCGTGCATGAAAACCCTTCGAATTTGCTATGCACCCACTATAGACGCAGTAGCGTGTGTTTCTTTTGTAGTGGGGTACCGGCTTTCAACTGCGGAGCCATTATGATTATCAGATAATAATTCTTACGCTCATTGGCCATGGACGCCTATACCACGCAATATTACTGCAATATTTTGTGTTTCATTGTAAAGCATGCATACAGGACGTGTGTCTTTGTGAAGCATGAAAACTACTTTCACTGCTTTTTCAAGCAGAGAAAGGTATTTTCACTATTTTCACTGTTTTGCTCCGCCGCGGTGGTCTAGTGGCTAAGGTACTCGGCTGCTCACCCACAGGTCACGGGATCGAATCCCGGCGGCGGCGGCTGCATTTCCGATAGAGGCAGAAACGTTGTAAGCTAGTGTGCGCATATTTGGTTTCACGTTAAAGAACCCCAGGTGTTTGAAATTTCTGGAGTCCTCCACCACGGCGTCTCTCATAATCACAGGGTGGTTTTGGGATGGTAAATGCGACATGTCAATGTATTTTCACTGTTTTCACAAGCAGAGGCCTGGGCGTGTTTTCTGTGCCGCTTTGTTGGTCCTTGTACAGTGGAGGCCCAAGTAGCAACATTTTAAAGAAAATTAAAATAATGCATTTTCAGCCTAGTGCCAAAACTTTCTTTTTTAACCTGCATTCTGGAAAGGAAAGTTCTGGGTATAGGGAACACAGTGCTTACTTTGCAGATTACCGAAAGAATCGACGATGATTTTTTTGCATTGTTGGGAGGGGATTTATTTTCGGGGCGTGCTGCAGCGAGCCATAAAGAAAGAATTACCTTTAGTTCCGTACAGAATTCGGTTCCTAAATCTTGTCAATGGAGATGAGGTACCTTTTTACGCCATTCTGCTGCCGTGCCTCCACTCTCTGTGGAGATCAAGAATGGCAGGCTACGATTTTGACAAAGATGCACGGCCTGCGAGAGCGTATTTACACGAAAGTGTTCTTGATTTCTAGATATTCGCCAAGCTGCACCAGTACCACCAGATTGGCTCTCAAGGGTAAAGCGACTTTACCCGAATTTTAACCCAACGATACAAGCGCAGCTCTGCTTGAGTTACCAGTCACCATGCATACATCGTACTTCGCGTGATTTTATTGTGTCATCGACGTCATATATTCATTGCCTGAGCCAGGTAATACAGAAAAAAAAGCAGGCATGGGCGTGTAGTAGAACATCCGCTTGCCACGCAAACAACCCGGGTTTAATCCCCACTTGGACCCAAACAACCCTGGTTCGATCCACACTCTGCTCCAGGTTTCTTTATTATCGTTTGCTTATCAGTCACGCATAATATGATCTTTTTTTTCCTCTCACAACCAACAAACGCCGACGCTGATGCCAGAATTTCAGCGAAACGAGCTCTTTACACAATCGCGGTAATTTCAGTCCTGTTGTTACTCGAAATTCCATTTTTATTTTGTAGGAAGTGTCAGTCACGATTACGGCTAAACGTTTGTTCTTGAAGCAATACCCCGCCGGGCAAACGCCGGCTCTATGTTAGGCGCAAGGTCTCCATTCGGCGAGCCCTACGTCCTGGCGACAAGGCGTTGTTGTTGCTTCAGGATCTTGAAGACCAGCTTGGCCTCCCACGTTTCTTACTACTCTTCGCTTGCATCTCTGGCGTTGCCATCTTCTTTGTTTGTTGGTTGGTTTGGGTGTTTATTAATACTGTTGAACGTGGAAGGGTCATTACAGAAGTGAATAAACAATCACATACAGTTCAGTAAAAATATGCACGCCACATAACGTGAACATGAATTAAAGGGCACTGCTTACTTCAGAGATATGCAAAGAAAAGTAAAAACAAACTGAAAATAATGACAGCATACCCATGGGGTGAATGATTGAGAGTGGGCGAAGCTCTATTGAGTTAAAGAACACCAAGGTAGACCACAAGTCCTATCACACAAAGGACTACGAAGATAGAGAGATGGCGGACGAATTTTAACGGCTCGAGCAACTCCGGCTACCCACAGTCTTGCAGCGGTACCTCCAGTCCTTGGAACGAGACGTCGATCACCGAATCCACGTTCGCTCTCCTCAACGTTCGTTCCTTCACTGCACACGTAGACGACGTGAACGGGACCCCGTACTTTCTAACGTCGATGTCCTTTGCTTCACTGAAACTTGGAAAGCCCCGAAACACTACACCACAAGCTACGTTCCCGTCGAGGTGATTGACACTAAGTATCTACCCAGGAACGACGAGAACACACATGGACAATTTCACAGTGTGGTCGTTAAGAAATACCCGACATCTGTAGCATCGACCCGACGAATGCAAAAAGTAAATGTCAGGATCCCAGCTGAAATCAAACCTAAGTATTCTGCGTGGCAATAAAGCAATTTAGCATGGAGCAACGCCAGGTCTCGGACCTTGATTGATTTGTGGGGTTTAACGTCCCAAAACCACCATATGATTATGAGAGACGCCGTAGTGGAGGGCTTCGGAAGTTTCGACCACCTGGGGTTCTTTAACGTGCACCGAAATCTGAGCACACACGCCTACAACATTTCCACCTCCATCGTAAATGCAGCCGCCGCAGCCGGGATTCGAACCCGCGACCTGCGGGTCAGCAGCCGAGTACTTAGCCACTAGACCACCACGGCGGGGCGAGGTCTTGGACCTACTTTTCATATAAACGCTAATCTTCGTGAAACGTCGATGGGGGTGGCAATACTGCCTACCCAGTTTTGTAAACATTACATATGTGCTCCTTTGATACAGTCGTCACGTCAGGTTAATGTTAGTTATGGTTAGTTGCCATGCGCTGAATTTAATTTATGGAGAATTGTCCAGGGCCAGTATCCTCGCGAGCATCAGTGCTTCATATCAGCTTCTGGTGTTGCTAATACGCGTGTTCCATTTGGCATCGTTGCGGAAGTGCAAACAACTGGTTATATAAACATCTGCAACTCTTCAACATATGTCTGTGCGTGCAAAATTTATATATATATTTACCGTCATTTCATGACGTGTCTCTCAATCAGAAATTGCGACATAGTCATATTCCCTCCGCATGCTTCGCATAACGTCGTTTCCCAGATACGAATACGACCTGCTGAATTTTTTTTTTTTGATGAGAAAAGGTTCTAAAACTAACTTCGAATCGCAGCTTTACCTGCCTTTGGAAATATTTTCAGGTAACTAACATGACATGCGCACTTGAAGATTATCTGTCCGGTACGCCGCAATTTCGACGTCGAGTATGGCATACAAACATTTATGCAAAGAGGCTGGGATACAATTAGGAGGAAAAACAAGCTTCTTCAGTACAATAGGTTAGAAGCTCTAATTGAAAGTATGCAAAGAAACTACGGTCTGAGCATGTCAACATCCACGTGGACTTATATTTCGTTCGTCTATTCAAGAGTTGAGGAGTTCATGCTTACAGAATGGATTGTTTTTCAGTAGTCACTGCGCACAACTCGATTAAGAAATACTTCCTGCTTAGCGCTGCCTACGCTTGTTCAAAGACGATAGCGCGACACGCGCACCGCTCAGTGCCGCGCCTCGTCTCGCGGATATCCCGAGCGGCACGCGATAGTTGTCAACAAGGGACGGGGGATGTCCCGACGAAGAGTGGAACCGGGAGAACCGGTGTCTGCGAACGCGTCGATTGCACCTTGCAGACACGCGCCGGGCAAGCGCCGCTGCCAAGGCCGTTACTCTCCTCCGAGACACATCCTTGAAGCCGTCCTGGCGCTCAGGTTGCTTTGCTCTCCTCGCGCGGGCTCGCGAGAAAGCGACCGGCAATCGTGCGCTTCCATCCGCTTCCGTCTAAGGTGCACTGCCTCGTAAACACGCAGCCTCTCAAAGCGACACGAGACGGTAGCCTAGCGACTGCATATATAAACGTCTAAGCTCAAAACCCACTTCACTGAACTCAAGACGTCAGCGTGTGTTTCTCGGCGTGCTTCAGCTTAACGTGAGTGCGCGCTACCTCAATAGGCGTAGAGCAATTTTGCCTTACCACGATGTTGTTCCGTGAAATCACTGTGGCTGACGTGATTAAGTTACAACTGTAAGACTTTGTGTTGGAACCTGATGCACTGGTAGCTTTGCTGTCAATAGTTAAGCCCTGTGCTGTACATTTTAAAACACAGTGGTCTCGTTTATATAGCATCGTGCCGATGCGGCAGTCGTTATTCCGCCAATATGAGGCAACTAGCAACACTAAATCTATAAAAAAATATACATTATAATTAATGAGTTACGGTGCTGTGCACACCAACGCTGAAATGCAATTTCGTTCTCATAAACATGGATTCTGTGGCAATTATTCTAAGTGCTACAACAAATAAAATTTTGTATGATACGTAGTACAATAGCTACGTGTCGATAATGTTATTTTCGCCAACTACGTTTACATTTTACGGCTCATGATTCAAGTAAAGCTGCCACAAAGGTTACAGTACCGAAATTTCATCGTAGAAAATAGAGCTTCTATGGTCCTTACCAGCAATAGGAAAATATCTAACACCTTTTTTCATAATTTTGATTATTCCACTGAATTGGGAAAAATGTGGTTTCAGTGAAAGTCCATCGATCTCAGATCAGTTCATCGTTTTGCGCCACATTGTTTCGCTTAAAGATCCTTCCTTGGCAGCCACATTTCGATGGAGTCGAAATAGTAGTGGCCCGTGTATTATGGTATGTTCGTCCACGCTAAAAAACGTCGGATGGTCCGAATTTCCCGGAGTCTTTCGCTCGGGCGTCTCTGATATAATGCTTTCGAAGCGCGAAACTTCGTAAAATATGAACAAATGCATTATTATTATTATTATTATTATTATTATTATTATTATTATTATTATTATTATTATTATTATCAAGATGGCTTAGAAAAGACGGACAATAACTGCAAAATAACTATCATTTCTAAAATGAATCAATGTATATTTAAATATTTGGTTGCAGTAATTACCAAAACGTTTAAAACCAATTACGGTTCATACGTCATAGTTAGCGGTAACCAGGTAACATCTGTTTTTTTCTAGACGCTATTTAAGGTCTCAACTGAGTTCAATAGCAGGGATTCCAAGCTCACCACAGCCACGTGTTAAGGCTTTTACATTGCTAAGCAGCGCGAAACTGCTGGTTTCTTGACCAGCACACTATCAACCACACGACCTTGCACCTCCGGATCAATGACTGCTATTAACTGCTCTGCTACTATGTACCCGTCAAAAAATACAAAGTGCAGTTTTATGAGCTTTGCATTTCTTTACTTCCGAATACTAAATGCAAGCTTCGAGACGTTGTTGAATCATTGTCTTGTCGATAAAAAGTCGTGGCGTGAATTTACACACCAAATGGACGCAGGGCGACAGCCTTGACACCACGTCAAAAACGCTAAGATGCTTTCGGAGCTTCATATTCTTCGGTATCTAAACCAAGCGAAGGTTCTAAAGAATTATTTGGAAGCACAAAAACTAGGTATGTGGGGTTTAACGTTCCAAAACCACCATATGATTGTGAGAGACGCCGTAGTGGAGGGCTCCGGAAATTTCGACCACCTGGGCGTCTTTAACGTGCACGTAAATCTGAGAAGTGTAGAGTAGCAGGGCAGAGCAAACTATAGCTTAGGCCGACCTCTCTACCTTTCTGTAAATAAATTCTCTCTCTCTCTCTCAATCTGAGCACATGCGCCTACAACATTTCCTCCTTCATCGGTAAAGCAGACGCCACAGCCGGGATTCGATCTCGCGACCTGCGGGTTAGCAGCCGAGTACCTTAGCCACTAGACGATCGCGGTAAGGCAAAGCACCAAAATTATATGTCCATAATTTGGGATAATGTAAGGACAGAATGGGATTGCAACCTGGGCCCTCCGCGTCTCCCGGGTTTAAATGAGCTACGCCGATCTCCACTAACACTCGGCTACACCGGTGATCAAAAGCTTGTTGCGCACTGACCCTAGGCAGGTTTCGTGTAACGTAAAGAATGGCGTTAATATGAGTAATGAACTGTTTTTGAGCTGTAATGGAACGACCAGTCGTCACAATACGAGAATTGCGTAATGAGTGGCTGATCTAACGGTCCAACCCATTACAAACGCCTACGCATAATTCTTCATCGTCGTCAACCACAGCATAAACAAAACGCACCTAACTCTCTGCAAGTAAGTAGTTCGTACCACGCTTCTCCAAAGAATGACGAATGATGGCAGAGCAGATGCCTCGCCACTACACAAAAATATGATTGTTTATGGCGTAGTGAGTACCCTTCAAGCGATCTTGTACAGTTACCCGACCAGTGCTTGAAAAAGACTCTAAAAAGGCCGCTCTTCTAGCTTTCATTGTGCCAGGGCTGCGCTTTCCACGCAGACCTGGCAATTTCTTAAGCACATTTTTTTTCCTCTACTGCACCATTCATTCTGATAAGCCTTTCACTCTTTGGACGAGTTAACGACAAGCTCATTAGAACTATGAGGATGAACGTAACAGCTAATGCGAAAGACTCTTGAACCAGAGCTCATACAAATAAAGGGAACCAAGCTCTCACTCCTTGAAATACGTAGAACATAAGTGGAGCGTGCACAGAAACTTCCACGTCTCGACAACTAGGTATAAATTGTATGCAAAACAAATCTTGCTCTTGTGAATTTGTCCATGCAGCACAAACACCAAAATGCAGTCCCGTTACGTGGTCTTCGCCATGCTGGTTATAGTTCTGCTCGTCACCTACGCCGAAGCCCAGCGTGAGTTGGTTTGAATATTATCCACATAGCCCTTAAGGACACGAACCCTTAAGCATACACTTCTTTCCCTTATTCATTAACGAGGGTCTCGTACAGGCAGACTTGGTGCGGTTAGGCTGAATACGAGGGACTATTCGTCAGCTGCCAGTTAGTAATAAGATCACGTGCTACGTGACGCCACACAGGCTCAAAAAAGAGTATGCCATGCTCGGCGCCACGGCTACAGACGGCGCTGACTGACACTCCCACGTTTAAATTCACATATAAACCCACAAAAAGTAAATGGGGGAAGGCCGCCGTGATAGCTCAGTGATTAAAGCATCAAACACGTTATTTTAAGGTCGTAGGTTCGTTTCCTGCTCATGACAGGTTATTTTTTCACCCACACTTTTTTTTCTTATTTACGTTACATTGGTTCTAATAAATTCCCCTATACATTCCTTGCCATTATTGTCGGGCATATATCAATAATATTGTGTCGAAAACACGGAAAAATGAGCCCTTAAGTATACACTGCTTTCTCCCATATATATATATATATATATATATATATATATATATATATATATATATATATATATATATATATATATATATATATATATATATATAGCACGGGAGAGATAGATAGAGTGAATCGGTACATACGGATACCCTATGCGCTGAACTTATAAGGACGCTGTACCACCCAGAGTTTACCACAGAGCCTAACGTTGCAACGTTTCCCTTGTATCCTCCTGGAATGAATGCAAAAAACATTCCGGAGATTAACGATCCCGTAGATAAGTTTTGAAAATTCAAAATAAAACAGAGAACCGACACTGGCCTACCCATTGACGTACCAGCCTAGCTTTAACTGCTTCCAATCAAAACACGGATTCAATTGTGCACACCCCAGTTGGTTGCCTTCCTGCCATGAGCAGGCACAGCACTTTCTCACTCCCCCGGTGCCATACAATTTCCCACACGACAGTGTGTTGATGAATGCGAGGTCAAAACGCGTCATAAAGGATGAGGTGTTGTGACTGAACCATAGAACCGAACTGGACAACTGCATTTACTTCCTACTTTCTTCTTCTCTTTCTCTACGTCCGTCGCGCCTACCCCCAAGGCCATGCCCCACGTCTTATTTTCCACAGATTGAACAAACTTCAAAAGCGAGGCTTCCTGAAAAAGAAACATGGCCTACGTGTTTAAGTGTGAAGAAAAGTCGCTAAAAGTTCTGTGACGTCACTCCAACTTATGGCACGGGAACACCACTGCAACAACAATCATGTAGAAACCCGGACAGAATGCAGGGGGGAACGCGCGCACACTTTAGACTATTAGGCAGCGCCACCAGTGTTGCATTAACACAAAAATTGCAATTGTTGCACATATAGGTTCGCAGCTCTAAGAAGTGTTGAATATCTTGCAAATTGTAGATCCCTAAATCTAGTAGATCGTAAGAGCACCATTTTCATTATTTTTTTCCAAACAATCAAAATTGTCTGCATAGCTTGAGAGACACCCGACTTCCTGGAGGTGAAATCGTTTATGTACGACCCTCAACAAGTGAAGGTCCACGTCGAGAGCCAATTAAAATATCAAACGCTTTTTTTCTCGCTGATTTGACTGGTGCCACAGCTCCCAACAAGAACCATGGCTACCAAAGGGCGATAAAAGCAACGCGACATACAAACAACATGCGCCAAGTATACTTGTGAGCTACCAATTCCGACTACCAGCAGTTGTGTCTTCAAATATGAGCAGATGGCACTTTAGTAGGTCATGCTTCTCAACAATTCGCTAGCTTTATTTAAAAGTTAGGCACAACCATCTAACACTTACCTAAATAACGATTCAAAGAAGTATTGACGTAAGTCATTTAGTTCATTGTTTCCGAAACACAACGTGACTTTTCATATGCTTGAAATAGGCGATCTATATTAGCTATAAGACACGATGAAACTTAAAACAACGCGACTGCGTGCAACAACGAAGTAAGCCGCCAAAAAAAAATACAGGAGAATATTCAAACACGATACTGAGCCACAGCAATGCGTTTCCTGTAAGGATAAGTTAGCTTAACAGGCGGAAGTTTCCCATAATCTGAATCAAGGCAAAGGGGAATGAATCAAAACGCCCGGTTCTCTTTAATATGAGCATGCGAGCGCCAAAAACACTGAATCTAACTCTATGTTTTTGCCGTTCCCTCCTAAGATGTAATTCGCCCGTTATATAGCCTGTCGGACAAGAGAGAGAGAAATAAATAAAAGGAAGAGACATGAAGGTTGACCTAGACGAACTGGTTTGCTACCCTGTACGGGGGTGGGAAAAGGGTCGGAAAGAGGATAGATATAGAGAGATATAAAATAAATTAGAAAAAAAAACCACATGTGCACACATTCAGGGAGTTCTGATCACAGTCGTTTGGACAGGCCGGTTGAACGCAAGAAGCGCAGGAGCGCCTTCACAGCCTTCTTCTGCGACATAAAGTCCTGTCGGCAGCGCAGGATTCTTTCTTCCGAAGGAGGCTGGTTGTCCAGTTCATCTAGTGCATTGCAGAGTGACTGTCTCTGCGAGCAATATTGTGGGCATTCACACAGAATGTGCCAAGTTGTTTCATCACTGCCACAATTGTCGCATGCAGCAGTGTCAGCCATTCCTATGCAGAACGCGTACGCATTGGTAAATGCGATGCCCAACCATAATCTGCATACCATAATAGCGTCTCGTCGGCGTAATTCTGGAGGAATTCGAAGACTGAGAGTTGGGTCTAAAGTACCTAACCGTGCATGGATGAAATGTGACTCGTTCCATTGTGACGTGGTGCGCTTGCGAGCAAGCGTGCGGAGTTTCTGTGCAGCGCCAGTTCTGGAAAGCGGAATTGATATTTCATCGCTTTCAATATGGGCAGAACGGGCAGCTCGATTCGCCCGTTCATTGCCAATTATTCCACAATGACTTGGAAGCCATTTAAAGGCTATTTCATGTCCTTCCTCAATGAGTTGGTGAGTCTTTTCTGCAATCTCAAATACGAGCTGTTCGTATGGGCCGTGGCGTAAAGGTGATATAAGGGATTGCAATGCTGCCTTTGAGTCACTGAAAATTGTCCATTTTTGTGGCTGTTGGTCGTTGACGAATTGAAATGCGGCACGAAGAGCTGTGAGCTCTGCTCCCGTTGATGTCGTAAGGTGGGAGGTCTTGAGTTTTCTTGTCGTGTATTTTATCGGTATAACAAATGATGCCGTTGAACTCTTCTATAAAACAGAGCCGTCGGTGTATACGTGTATACAGCCTTGATACGTCTCGTATAACAAGAGCAGAGCAAGCTGTCTAAGAGCAGGTGATGACATATCTGCTTTTTTCTGGATGCCAGGTATAGTTAGCCTGGTGTTAGCCTGAGTCAGGCACCAGGGAGGAGTCGAAGGCCTTGCGGCGGGTGTGAAGCATGTTGGCAAAGAATCGCGATATGGGGTGACCGTTTGGCAATATGACGAACGTGGTCTGTCTGCTGGTAAAGAGGCTAGGTGGTGGCAGGGTGTCCGAGCAGCATGCCTTATATGTGTCCTGAGTGCCTCAACGTCGATATGTGTCGTGATGAGGTGGTCACCGACGATAGCTATAGTAGCCATTGTCGACGCCCTACGAGGCAAGCCGAGGCAAGTCTGGAGTGCCTGGGACTGAACACTCTAAAGCATTTGAAGGCTTGTTTTGCTTGCATTGGTCAATGCCGGTAAACTGTACCGCAGAAAACCGAGAAAAAGTACTCTGTACAGCTGTAGCATTGCACTGGGAGACATTCCCCAAGTCTTTCCTGCAAAGAACTTCAGTATATTACAGATGTCCATTAACCGTTTTCTTATGTACCAAACGTGATCGCTCCATGACAGATTCCTGTCAATTATGACGCTAAAAAACTTGTGCGATCGAACGTTGGTACAGTTTGACCATTGATGCTTATAGTGTACTTATCCATAAGCTTTCGTGTAAAAGCTACGAGGGAGCATTTCTCGGAAGAAATTTTCAAGCCTCGATTTCGTAGGTAGCGTAATGTTTCAGTGGCAGCTTTTTGAATTCTTCCTCGTAACTGCAGGCGTGTTACAGCCGATGCCCAAACGCAGATATCATCTGCGTACATTGATAGTCTGACCGTGCTTGGCAGATGCTCAGTGAGAGCGATTAACGTGAGATTGAACAGCCCAGGGCTGAGTACGCTACCCTGGGAGACGCCAGGGTGGCTGTAAATGTTTCATAAAAATAACGTGGTAAATACCTCTCTGCAAGACTTTCCAACCTTTATATACAGTGTTTTTTTATCACGGTGTCCATCTGAAGCTCGTTCATTGGGACATGGTAAAATATATTCGAAATTAAACGCTTCCACAGCCGCGAACACACAATGTGACAGCTATGTTCACGCCTTCTTGTCGGACCGCACTGCCACAGTCTGTCTCGTCTCCATCCGATCACATGTTATCAGGGTTCCGAACAAGGGCACCCCGCAGGGCTCAGTGATTTCCCCGCTACTCTTTAATGTAGCTATGGTTGGCCTGGCACATGAACTCCACCGCATCGATGGAATCCATCATGCAATGTATGCAGTTGATATCACCGTCTGGGCCACGCGGGGGTCCCTTGGAGAAAAAGAATATAACCTGCAGCAGGCAACCACATGCGTCGAACAATACGTGCAGGCACGAGGCCCGGCCTGTGCAACAGAAAAATCTGAGCTACGAATTTATAGACGCAAGCTCTCACCATCGACGAAGAACAACCAAGGCTCCCGCCTCCAGGTCGTCCTTGCTGGCAAACAAATCCCAGAGAAATCCACCATTCGAATATTAGGCATGTGGGTACAGTCAAACCGCCATGTGAATCACACACTTTCCCTTTCTCCGCACCACTACACTGCAAGTGGCCCGAATGATATCTCGGGTAGCCACTCGTCGCCATGGCATGCACGAGGAGGACACCCTGAAACTCATACGTAGCCTCGTGGTCAGTAAGGTGACATACAGTTTGCGCTACCAACGCCTCACCAAAAGCGAACAGGGCCAAGTGGACGCAATGCTCCGCAAGGCCTCCAAAGCGGCACTCAAGCTACCACCGGGTACACCTTCTAGCAAGCTCCTCGCATTGGGCCTACACAACACCTTTGAAGAACTTTGTGAAGCGCAACTCACCACACAACTGCAACGGCTCACGCAAACACCTACAGGCCATGACCTGCTCCTACGCCTTGGCTACATCAGCCAGTTTCACGACGCAGCTCGTCGCAAGCCCATTTCGAACCAACTTCGTGCCACTTATAAGGTCGCTACCATCTCCCGCAATATGGATCCCCGACTACATCAGGGCCGGAGGGAAGCCAGAGTGGAAGCCCTCGAGCGAACTTATGCACACAAGAACACTACGTGTTATGTTGACGCCGCCAAATACGACCATGCAAACAATAAGGCTGTAGCCACAGTCGTGGACCACACACTCACAGAACGTACCAGCGCTTCCGTGCGGTGCCACAACATCACCGATGCTGAAGAAACTGCCATCGCGCTCGCTCTCACCCTCGGCTACAGACATCGAAGGTCGCTGACAGTTCTCGCGGACTCTCAAGCAGCTTGCCGCAACTACCTACAGGGGCGCATCAGCCAACCCGCTCTCAACGTCATCCTGAGCGTTACAGACACTGGCGAGCATTCCATTACACATCCACTCAGAATTTGGCATCGAATTATATGGACTCCGGGCCACATGGGACTGGAGGGGAATCAGGCAGCGGATAGGGTAGCTCGAGGGTATGCGAGCCGAGCACCTTCCAACTCCGCCACTGAGGAACTCGTTCCGGTCCCTTGCGACTATTCGGCCATCCTAAATCATTACAGAGGACTTAGGGAAGCTTATTCGCTACCACACCGAACACTAAATAAAGAGGAATCGGTCAGCTGGAGGCAAATTCAAACCGGCACGTTTCCAAATTTGCACATCCTGAGTAAAATGCACCCCTCGGCATACTTCTCCTCTCTGCCCATGGTGTTCAGCTAAAGCCACTCTGTACCACGTCACGTTGGAGTGTCAGGCCATTGCAGCCTTACAACCAGTACAAAATCCAACAGCGGAGCGATGAGAGAAGCTGCTGGCCAGGGGAAACCTGGAAGATAAGTTGAGTCTGATGAACCGGGCCCGCAGAGCGGCTGCTGCAAGCGGAGCCCTGGACTAAGGGCCACCCCACCGCAAGTCAAGCATCTCCGAATACTCGGAGCTTCTTCGCAGAAAATTTCATGTAAATAAATAAATAAATACGTTTTCACCACCACCACCACACAATGTGATAGAAGCATACTTGAGAAAGCGACAGCGCTACAGTTATGCTGCTATAAGGATGGTTTGTTTAGAACACGAATCACGCTCACGTATACATTTTTCGCTTCAAATTGTTTTCTAATGAAAATTGGCAGTAATTTCTGTTTTTGTGTTGCAAATAAATTTTCTCAAGTTACCTCATGTCAAATATTTAGGTGACAAGCATTTGCTCATGCGACCGAGATTAGAAAGTTTTGCGTTCATCACACTTTATTCTGCAGGCAGCATCACTTGGGGAAGCTACAAGTATGTTAGCTACAAAAAATAGCGGCAAGCAAGGAAGTAAAATAGGAGGGAAAAAACGACAGGGTGGTTAACCAGCCTATCGGCAGTCGGTTTCGTAACCTGCACCTGGGAGGAGGATGGGTAAGATGAAAGATAGAGAGCAGAGAAGGATGAGAGATAAACACAGCACATTCGGCAGCACAAGCGCGCACACTCATAGTCCAGTCTTGTCTTTCGCGGTGTGTGACATTGCAGTTACAGCCGCTTGTTCAAGTCCGTGTCGCATAAGAACTTCAACAGAGCTTTTGTCGTCTTCTGTTGCGATTTATTCTCTCGGACACTTGTCAAAATAGTGTCCAAAGAGATTTGGCTGTTGTCGATGCGCGCAAAAACGGACGCCAGTGACTGTCTCTGGATCTCATACAACGGACAGTCGCACAAGATGAGGTGTAGCGTCACTTCGCAATGACAGACGTTGCAGAGAGCGTTGTCGGCCATTGCTATGACAAATGAATAAGATTTTGTAAATGCCACTCCCAGCCATAAGAGACGAAGAAGGGTTGCTTCTCTTCGGTCTAGCCCAGTGGGCATGCGGAGAGCCATCAAAGAGGACAGGTTGTGCTGACTGATTCGTCTCGTCGCTTGTTGGGCACCATAGTGAAAACGTTATTTCACGCGCAAGTCGTCAAAGGCTGTATGAATCGCTACCCGACCGAGTCCAGGCCGCTAAGAAGGGATCGTAATGTGGCCTAGTTAAAGTCACAGCCTCAGAGCCCCAACATTAGAGCTCCCTGCTTCAAGCTAAAGTTTGCTTCGGGACCCAATCAATTTCCTCATATTTTCATTCTATATTTATGTCTAGCTTTGGAATTAAAGGTGAGACATCATTCACGTAACTGTAAAGTTAAACATTCACGTGCGCTAAAATTGCCAAATAATTCTTCACGGTTAGCAAATAACTATGGCTAAACGATGTGGCCGCTTTTTGTCTGAATGGCGAGTATCCTAAACAACACAGATATCTATACAGACTTACTATCATAAGGTGCAATCGATATCGTGTTTATGTCCGAGTAAATATGTTTGAATCTTACCTGTTTTCTATGAAAATCCTTGGCGGAATTCGCTTTTTTTTCGCACGGTCACCTTGCCTGCTGCTATTCGATGGCCTTTCTTCAAATGTCTGCAAAAGAAAAAAACATGTCGCACCAGTCATACAGTACAGTTGCAGGCATCTTCATACTCAAGGCATTCGCCTGCGCAGGTGGTTCTCGTGGCCAGCGCTGCGGTCCAGGCGAGGTCTTCAACCAGTGCGGCAGCGCATGTCCCCGCGTCTGTGGCCGGCCACCAGCTCAGGCGTGCACCCTGCAGTGCGTAAGCGGATGCTTTTGCCGTCGTGGTTATATCCGCACTCAAAGAGGAGGCTGCATCCCAGAGAGACAGTGCCACCAAAGAGGATGAACCATGAAGTCAGAAGGAACACCACCGTATCGGAAAGTTGTTTAATGAAACCTAGTCCATGAACGCCAAATTATGCTTGCGTATATTTTGTTTGGAAATAAATTTATTAATGCAATAACTTATCATTTTTGAGTTTCTTTATACACAACAGTCCTGTGCATTATTTGGCACAGGAGGATTGTTTGTACGAGCGTTAACTATGACTTCCTTGAAAAAAGACCAGAGAAAATTGCCTGCGTTGAAGTTATATCTATTTATCTTATAATTCTGAGAGTCATATTGCCTCATGCCATAGTGGCTTTGCCACATAATGACAACTGACAAAGTCGTAAGGCAACAATTCTCGTACGACCACACTATGAATATGTGATTATGCCATAATCCACGAAATATTAATAATTTGGCATTACTATTGACGCCACACAGCAGGCCTTTAAAAATGAAGGCTGCGTTTACCGTGTTTTCGTGCCTGCTGATGAGTGCTGCGCCGTTTGAAACTAACGAGTTTATGGTGATGGGGCCCTGACTTTGAGGCTGTATAGCTTCTTACACTGCTGCTCAAGCAGCGTTACCAAGACCTCATGAGATCTCTAAAGCGACGACGTCCTCAAAGGTAGTGAATATTGCTACCTATTTAGTACTATCAAATTTTTGTTGTACAGACAATCGGCACATGCATATACATTTGCCACCACACACAGCAACACAGAGAAATTATGTTCCACTCAAAGTGAACGATATTTTTCTTGCGCACTCTCTGCGTTGGAAGGGACATTTTCAATTATTTCTCTCATGTAACGCAGCTATGCTAAATATCTAATCTGTATGCATGGTTACTAATCTGTTTCCTGAAGCTCGGAGAATCGATGGGATAACATCGTGCACCTCCTCTCATTACTACGTCGCCTGAGGGACGTGGACTTGTTATGTTAAAATCTGTAAACGTTCGAAGGAGAGCATTACCATAAAGTTTTGAAATTCCTGCTAATCACCAAGTTTCGATGCTTCATTCCCAGAAGTACTGCTCGGCATCCTATTGCAGAGATTATGTGTTTCCGCTGTTACCCAACGTATATATCAAACGACCAACGGTTTTCGGAAAAATACCAGTTGCTAAAGATCCGATAATTGGAACATGCGCACGAGAGAAAGGAGGCAGCAGCAGTATTGCGAAATTTACATAAAAGTGATGTATCGCTATAAGTTCAAAATCGGTGTCTCTACAACCTGCCTATAAGGTATCTTGCTTAGAAAAACTAGTTAACGAAACTGAATTACTAGTGCGCTAAACTTGGAACATTTTAGAGCGCCAAGAAACATGACGATAGTTATAGCGCGAGAACAAAACGACGACACAGAGACAATAAGGACACGAAAGACACGAGCGCTAACTTCCAACGTGTCCTTCTTGTCTCTGTGTCGTCGTTTTTTTCTCGCGCTATAGCTATCATCATGCCATACCAACTAGCCCAAGCTGCCACATTGCCAAGAAACAGTTCGCAGTCCAGTTATCTAGCCACAGAAAAATATCTTACATACGAGTCATTTCATGCAAAATGACTTCATTTTGGCGACTGTCTCAAATGTACTCCAGAAAATTACGCTGAATTCTTGGGTTAAAAACAGGGACAGGGGAACTTCAAAAGGGAAACAATTTTCGCTCACGTGGAGGCACCCCGGGGAATTTACTCTGCGAACAGCTTGACAAGACCTCGGAAGCTGCAGAGGGCAGCACATGCAGTGTATTTCAGTTGCACACTTGGAAATGAAAGTAGCATAATACAAGAAAAATTTAAAATGCTTATTTGCATTTTACAAAAATGCGAATAGGCAAAAAATGTAAAATGCACCTGTATTTGCCTGTTACATATGATGTAACGAATGACAACGGCGTTCTGCCTCCTTTGAAAGCTTGTTTTCACATACATGAAGAGACAGTTTGTAGGCGCGTAACCTGGAGGCTGTTAGCTTAATATGTTTAAGGAACAAAAGAGCCTTGGGTAATATTCTTGGGTGTTCATTGAAATTTACAGATTCTTACCTCCATTTGCGGCTGTTCTACTTCATTATAGTTGCTAGTTTTTCTTGTACACCTGGCTAACAAACAACTTAAAAGTACTAATTATAATGAGCAAAATATATAGCACTATTTAGGTTTTGAGGAACTAACTTTTTGTGTTTGTAGAGGCATATCCAACTGCTTTTTAACATAATTTATATGTTAGCTTGTTGTAAGTGTTCTCTGAGACAACATATCATTGAACCAAATGTGCGGAAACTTTTCTGATGAAACATTCTGAAGGTTCATTTTATAAAAATTACAAAAGAGTTTCAGGTCACATTTTTCGTTGAGTGGCTCAAACATAGTAATTTAGTTTTCTTAGATTTTAAATAACCTGATGCAAGTCAGTGATTGTTGAACTTTGATTAAACATTTCTTTATAGCATTGTTTATTGAAAGAAATATATTTTCATAGCGAGCAGAAAACGTTTCAGAAACTAGACAAATAGGACAGAGTGCTCGTTGCTATCTGTCCAACAGCACAACAGACCAACAAGCCTAAGTACCCACACTTTTGCGGTACTGTTTAACTGACCTAAAGTTCTTGCGGAAAGAATCTGTTAGAGTAGTCAGCGTATGTGACCGGAATTTGTGAATGAAGCACATAAGTTATTGATGTAGAATATAAACAACCTATTCTATCAAATTAACCCCTGCGATGCCTAAACTTTCCAATTGTACATGAAAATACCGAGTCACCGACCTTCACACACTTTCTTTTAGGGGCGAAGCTCCTTAAAGGGGCCCTGCACCACTTTTTTAGCATGGTCAGAAAACGCTGCCGATCGGTAGTAGAGGCTCCCAAAAACCCCGGAGCCAGATATTACAGCACATCACGCGGCCTTGCATTCACAATAAATTGCCAAAGTCAGCTAAACATTGCTTTCTTTTCTCTCGACAAATGGCGGAATATGCCCCAAAATCACACGTGAATTACGAATCTATCAGCCATTGCCTGATTTGAACATGGCGTGCTTGCTCGTTACAGAGATTGCCGTGGGAGGCCGCAACTTGTCCATGCATGCGCGCGCGATCACACCAAAAAAGCGGTGCATTCGAAGGGGGAAAAAAAGAAAAAGTGCTCGAGACCACAAGGCCTGTGTAACGTATTTCTATGGCCCTGCCATCCCTCCCTGCTTAACTTCCAGCGTTTTCGTCGGGACGAGAAAAGAGTGAATGCAATGTCAGCATGCGACGAACCTTTGTAACTCTACTTGCGCTGGACGGATTCTTAAATTTTTTGTGGCGTTGAATTCGTGAGATAATAAGCTTTTCCAGTTGATTGATTCTGTGGTTACATAAAAAAGCGTTTCAGGGTCCCTCTCAGCCATGGGCCTGTACATGCATTGTTTTTTTTTGGTACGTGACCACCTAGTTCTATGACTCACTCAGCAGGTGCGGACGGACAGACAGACAGACAGACAGACAGACAGACAGACAGACAGACAGACAGACAGACAGACAGACAGACAGACGTTTTCGTCGGGACGAGAAAAGAGTGAATGCAATGTCAGCATGCGACGAACCTTTGTAACTCTACTTGCGCTGGACGGATTCTTAAATTTTTTGTGGCGTTGAATTCGTGAGATAATAAGCTTTTCCAGTTGATTGATTCTGTGGTTACATAAAAAAGCGTTTCAGGGTCCCTCTCAGCCATGGGCCTGTACATGCATTGTTTTTTTTTTGGTACGTGACCACCTAGTTCTATGACTCACTCAGCAGGTGCGGACGGACAGACAGACAGACAGACAGACAGACAGACAGACAGACAGACAGACAGACAGACAGACAGACAGACAGACAGACAGACAGACAGACAGACAGACAGACAGACAGACAGACAGATAGACAGACGTTTTCGTCGGGACGAGAAAAGAGTGAATGCAATGTCAGCATGCGACGAACCTTTGTAACTCTACTTGCGCTGGACGGATTCTTAAATTTTTTTGTGGCGTTGAATTCGTGAGATAATAAGCTTTTCCAGTTGATTGATTCTGTGGTTACATAAAAAAGCGTTTCAGGGTCCCTCTCAGCCATGGGCCTGTACATGCATTGTTTTTTTTTGGTACGTGACCACCTAGTTCTATGACTCACTCAGCAGGTGCGGACGGACAGACAGACAGACAGACAGACAGACAGACAGACAGACAGACAGACAGACGTTTTCGTCGGGACGAGAAAAGAGTGAATGCAATGTCAGCATGCGACGAACCTTTGTAACTCTACTTGCGCTGGACGGATTCTTAAATTTTTTGTGGCGTTGAATTCGTGAGATAATAAGCTTTTCCAGTTAATTGATTCTGTGGTTACATAAAAAAGCGTTTCAGGGTCCCTCTCAGCCATGGGCCTGTACATGCATTGTTTTTTTTTGGTACGTGACCACCTAGTTCTATGACTCACTCAGCAGGTGCGGACGGACAGACAGACAGACAGACAGACAGACAGACAGACAGACAGACAGACAGACAGACAGACAGACGTTTTCGTCGGGACGAGAAAAGAGTGAATGCAATGTCAGCATGCGACGAACCTTTGTAACTCTACTTGCGCTGGACGGATTCTTAAATTTTTGTGGCGTTGAATTCGTGAGATAATAAGCTTTTCCAGTTAATTGATTCTGTGGTTACATAAAAAAGCGTTTCAGGGTCCCTCTCAGCCATGGGCCTGTACATGCATTGTTTGTTTTTTTTTTGGTACATGACCACCTAGTTCTATGACTCACTCAGCAGGTGCGGACGGACAGACAGACAGACAGACAGACAGACAGACAGACAGACAGACGTTTTCGTCGGGACGAGAAAAGAGTGAATGCAATGTCAGCATGCGACGAAACTTTGTAACTCTACTTGCGCTGGACGGATTCTTAAATTTTTTGTGGCGTTGAATTCGTGAGATAATAAGCTTTTCCAGTTAATTGATTCTGTGGTTACATAAAAAAGCGTTTCAGGGTCCCTCTCAGCCATGGGCCTGTACATGCATTGTTTTTTTTTTGGTACGTGACCACCTAGTTCTATGACTCACTCAGCAGGTGCGGACGGACAGACAGACAGACAGACAGAC